AAGAATATATAAAGATTATATCAGGGCCGGCCCCATGACCGAATGGTTAAGTTCGCGCACTTCGCTTTGGCGGCCCAGGGTTTCACAGGTTCGGATCCTGGATGTGGACATGGCACCGCTCATCAGGCCATGCTGAGGTGGCGTCCCCCATGCCACAACTAGAAGGACCCACAACTAAAATATACAACTATGTACTGGGGGGACTTGGGGAGAAAAAGCAGGGAAAAAAAGAAGATTGGCAACAGTTGTTAGGTATCAATCTAAAAAAAAACAGATCATATCTATATTTTTTATAAATTGATGGCTCAATGTACATTTGAATGGACAATTGACTAAATACTAATTGCACTCAGTGTTATTATTAGCTTTTCTTTTGAAGTTTTTAAGTCAAATATATTCTTATAATGGGGAAAGGATTAATATGTAACGTTTGCAAACACACTTACAGTCATACAATTTAAAATTTTTTCAAGAGAAGTTTTATTTGGAGTGAATTTATTAATACTCCTTTATTAACCAAGGAAAAGAAGGTGTATAAAGGAAAATCCTGACAAACATATAACTGACTATGTTTTGGGATGTACTTCTATACTAGTTTTCTATTGCTTTCTGAATTTTCAGAGTAGCCTGGAATGTTCCAATTGAAGTATATAACCACAGAACACACCTCACACAACGTTGTGAACCAAATAAAGTTTTGATTTGGCTTTTTTCCAAATCTGTCCTTTTGAACTCCTTCAGTTCCTCCTTCCCTAAGCCCCAGTGTTGGTACAGTCCACTTTCGTTGCCCTTAAACTGTGTAATGGCTTCCCACAATGGTTCGCAGCTTGGATTGCCTTATATTATGGACCTATTCCAACCCTCGCCTTGTACATCAAAATTTACTAGTACTTTTTCCTCAAGAGCCCCACTCTGCTTTCCAGTGTGACGGATAATTTTCATAAGCTATTTCATATTAATTTTAATGGAGAACTTCTGGAGACAATACCAGAAACAAGTATTTTTTCGCTCTATTTTCTGTGTAACCTCTCGACCAAGAAGATAATTTTGAATTTACATTCTGTTATTTGTATTACAAAAAAAAATAGGTATTTAAATACACTTTTTCTAAACTCATTTGCCCTCTTCCACTGAGATTTTTATATTCTTATATGTCTTATCCCACTTCCCATATCTTATCTACCTCTGGTTATGAGTGTCCTCATCCAAAGGACTGAACTCACTGGCAGTCAAGAGAGGAGTTAAACAATGAGATACTCTTTTCTCTCTCAAGTCATAGCCAACATGGGAGCAGGCCACATTTTAATAGGTATGCAGCACAAAACCATATTAAACTATATTACAATGTTCCTGAACGTCCAGGTTCAAGGTTTATTATTTTCGTCCCACAAGTCCAACCCGTTGTTAAGAAATCTAACAAGCAGAACTCTATCACAACCTTCCTGATTCTGGTAACAACTTCCAGCTTCAGAAGTGTTCTTTGAGCATGAGAAGGATAAATAATTAGTAGCTAACATTTCTTAAGCTTTTGCTATGTGATTTTAAATGAAACAAAACGTCTCATTTAATCCTTACAACAGTTCATGAGAGTAGTTCTGTTATCATCCCCTTTTTAGAGATAACGGGAACTGATGTTAGAGAAATTAATTTGCCCAAGAACTCATAGCTAATGGAACTAGGATTTGAAACCCATTAGGTCTAACTGCAAAGTTCATGCTTTCATCTTGTATATTTCTTTGTGGAGAATTTTTAATGTGCCGTAAATGGGCTGAATCACCCAGTATGTGTATATTCGTTCATTCATTCATGAATTATTCATTCATTCATTCAGCGACTTTTTTTGAACACTCTCTGTATACACTTTGCCAGGTGCTTTGAAAATCCAAAGCTTAGCCAAATGGAAATCATTCCCTCAAGGAATGTGTCTACTAAGAAAGATGTCATGTATAGAAATAACTGTAACGTGAGGTATACAGTGATAAGAGCTATGAAACAGATTCCCATTTCAAAAAACTATTGGAGTTCAGAAAAGGGAGAGAATTTTCCCATCTGGGAAGTTGAAAAGGCTCAAAGAAAGGTGGTATTTCATTTGGACCTTGATAAATGGGAAAGATTTAAACATGAGACAATGAGAAACTAGAGAATGTATGGGTATTTCAGGCTGAAAGAGAATATAGGAACAAAGACCCAGAGAAAGGAAAGTTAGAAAAAAGTATATCATAGAAAGCAAGAAGAGAGAGAATTTCAAGAAATGTGGCCAAAAGTGGAATATTATGTGTTACTTGTCCTTATCACTAACCAGAACATATGCTTTTATTTCATCACACTGTTAGCCTCTTATGCATGTCCATTTTGTTCCCCTTTCTTCTATCTAGCATCTCTCTACATATGGATGTTCAAGTCCCTGTTTAAAGAAAAGAAACTTTGTTATAGGTGGAGGTAAAATTTATTCCCATTGAAAGATTAAGAATCACTTTTTTAGGAAAGAAGAGTTAAGGAGAAATCTATTCATTCAGGGAGCTTTTTATCAAGATCTTATTATGTCCCTAAAACTGTGTGCGATGCTAAGAATAATGTGCCATTTTTGCCTCAGGGACCTCTGGGTCAGCTAAAGGAGGCAAACATGTAAATAAGCAATTGCAAAGTGTAATTAGTTCTACGATAGAGGAATTTATTAGATATGGAAGTGACACAAGAGAGGCAGGGATAAGCTTTAAGGATGGTAATTGGGGAATGCTTCCCAAAAAAGCAGATGCCTCTGAGCCCAGTCTTTTTTTTTTTTTTTCTTTTTAAGACAAATGGGATCAGCTCACATGTTCTATTTTAAAGCTTACGTTTTTAAATTTAGTAATAAATTTTGGTTGTCTTTTGTGTTAGTATATATAGCTATTCCTTATTCGTTTTAATGGTTGTACAATAGTCCATTCTATAGATCTGCATGCTGTATTTAACTGATCCCCTATTGATGGATATTTGAGTTGTTACCAATTTCTTGCTGAAGTAAATATGCACAAACACACACACACTGGCATTGGAATCTCTGTAAAACATTCTTAGATGTATACTTCCAAGCATTCAATAGATAGTGCCAAATTACCCTCCAAAAATATTGGGTAAACATGCTTTTTCCCACACCTATACAGAAATTGGAATTGTCAGTCTTTTAAAACTGCTAGATTAATAAACAAAAATACTACATTATTGCTTTAATTTGAATTTCTTTGTTTTAGTGAAGTTGAAGATCTTTTCATGTTTACTGTCTGGTTATATTTCTTTTCTGAACTAATTGTTGTCGGAGTCTGGGATTTTACCTTTTGGAAACTAATAAATTAGCCTGTTAGCATTTCATGGGCACTGGCAGAAGACATAAGACTCTTGGTTCAGAAACAAAAAACGTTATTGCTCATGGCAAGGCAAGCAGCATGGGCATCATGTTTGCATTGGTTCCTCTTGCTCCCAGGTCCCATGAGGTGATGCAGAAGGGCCTCCAGGGGAAATGACACAGCTGAGGAACATAGAGCTTGTCAAATCCACCTCTTTTAGAGCAAGTCTGCTCTTTGTCCTGGAGGGACCTCATCCCTCAAGGCTGCTCTCTGCAAACACAACCTGAGAAATGGCCCCAGTTAACAGCTTTCAGAGCCCTGCATCCTTTGCTTACCTAGCAGGAACATGCAGGGACATGCAGGGTCCATGGCTAATTGCCTCTTCCAACAACTGTTTTTGCTTATTTTTCTATATGGTTACCTTTTTCTCATTGATTTGTTAAGAGCTGTCTGCTATCACAACAATTATTCCTAGATCTATCATTTAACGTTACCTGTCTTATCCTAATTTTCCTTCTGTGTGTATGTGTGTGTGCTGAGGAAGATTGGCCCTGAGCTAACGTCTGTGCCAGTCTTCCTCTATATTGTATGTGGGTTGCCACCGCAGCATGACAGCTGACAAGTGGTGTAGGTCTGTGCTTGGGAACTGAACCTGGGCCACCAAAGCAGAGCGTGCCAAACTTAATCACTAGGCCAAAGGGCTGGCCCTCCTTTTTTTTTTAAATATGATTTTGTCAGTTGTGGGATTTTTTTTTCCCATACGTGGGTTTCATGCCATACAAAGAAAGGGCTGCCCTATTATGATAAAAATATTAACTGATTTTTTTCTTTTATGCTTTCAGTTTTTAGCCTTTAACGTTTTGATCCTTTTGGAATTTACTTTCATGTAGGAATGATGTAAGGACTCACTTTGATTTTACCAAATGGTTATCCAGTTCCTGCAACCTCTTTTCCCACCTTTTCCCTACTTGTTTGAAATACCACCTTCATAACATACTAAAATTTATGTGTACTTAGATCTTATACTTTTTTTTTTTTTTAAGGACGATTAGCCCTGAGCTAACATGTGCTGCCAATCCTCCTCTTTTTTTGCTGAGGAAGACTGACCCTGAGCTAACATCTGTGCCCTTCTTCCTCTACTTTATATATGGGATGCCCACCACAGCATGGCAAGACAAACAGTACATAGGTTTGCACCCAGGATCTGAACCGGCAAACCCTGGGCCACCAAAGTGGAACGCGCGAACTTAACCGCTGTGCCCCCAGGCTGGCCCCTTATACTATTTTTTTATTCTAGTCTTACTAATCTATTTGTGTGTTACTACTCCAACCTTATCGTTTAATTGCAGTAGCTTTATAATACACTTAACACCTGGTAGAATTTGTTCCCCATTGTTTCTCTTTTATTTACAAACTTTCCTGACTGTTTTTACATATTATTCTTGAATCGGTCTTTTATGTTTTTATTTATTTTTTTGAATGGATCTTTTAAAATAAAGTAGGTAAACAGGATGAGTATAACTGTGGAAAGAAATTCTAAACTACTTTTATAACCTTATTCCATTTTAAAAGTCTAATTAATGTTATAACTTTTATGAAGATTTAATTTGCATTTCAACAAATATAGGAACATAGTTTCTGTTTGCAATTTCTAAAATCTTCTTTATTTTAATATAGATTCCTTGTAGTTTGGAATACTGGGATGAACTCCAGAAGATTTTTGTTGCATTTCAAGAATTTAGTCTGTCTGAAAGTAAAGTTTGTGAACTGCAATTGCCAGATGTCAATCTTGTGAATGACCAGAAGAAACTAGTATCCTCGGATCTTTGGAGAATTGTCTTGAACAGCAGTCAAAATGGAGCTGATGACCAAAGGTAACTTAGTGAAAAATGAAATAGTGACACTGTTCTAGGAAACAGTCATCAAGTCATCTCATCTAGTGACCCTCACTTAGCTCTCTCTCCGCTGCCGAGTAGCTGCATCTGTCTGAACAGATAATAACCAGGAAACAAGACAGAAGCTCATGTTTCAAAGTCTGTATACTAAAAGTCCTGTGTTTTACTCATAATACGGCCCTGTGAGCCCCCACTACGAACTTGCTGCTTAAATATAAAAAGAGGGGGGCCGGCCCGGTGGTGCAGTGGTTAAGTTCACACATTCCCCTTCTCGGCGGCCCGGGGTTCGCTGGTTCGGATCCTGGGTGCGGACATGGCACCACTTGGCACGCCATGCTGTGGTAGGCATCCCACGTATAAAGTAGAGGAAGATGGGTACGGATGTTAGCTCAGGGACAGGCTTCCTCAGCAAAAGAAGGAGGACTGGCAGTAGTTAGCTCAGGGCTAATCTTCCTTAAAAAAATAAATAAATAAATAAATATAAAAAGAAAAAAGTGCAAAATACAAACCACAAAAAAAGTTCAGTCATCCTGAACCAAAAACTATAGAAGAAAAGAGCCATACACACCTCAATAGACTCTTAATGACACAGTAATCAATACATGTAATGATAGCCCTGGGGCATTTAAAGAAAGGTTAATAAATTGAATTATCTCATTCTAAATTTTGGAGATATTTCCTTCTTACATGGTTTAAAGAAAACTTTAAAAGACAAACATCCAGATATTAGAAGATACTAAATCACAATCAGTAGAACAATATTCTCTTGTCATATATTATGCATACTGCGGGCCTGTGCCCATCTTGCTATCCATCACTTTCAGTGTCTTACCTTCAGATTCTCCTGATGAGTTGGCTTTAGCATTATCTTATTCTTTTTATATAATCTCTCCTTTTTTTTCCCCAAACAACATTCTCAGACTAACAAGAGAAAAAACACATCCACCATTCCAACACCCTGTAAATCAACTATTTCTTTTCTATGTTACCTTTATGTTTGCCCATTATTGTATGCCTTTTCAAGGTTATAATCATAGCACACCATTTTGTGTTCTGATTCCAACTGTATGTTATAAATAGCTGTGAATGCTTTTTTTTTTATTTATCAATAATATGTGTTCATTGGAGAACATTTGGGAAATAAAGAAAATAACACCACCCATAATCATACCATACTGAGATAACGTCTGTCAACATTTTAGCCTGTAGCCTCACAGTCTTTTTCGTTGATTACTTTGTATGCTTAATAATATGTTTTATACTTTATATATTCTATTTCTAGATCATTTGGACTCTTTAAAAATAATTGCCTTCCTAGTATGTTATCTAGTAGTATACAATTAATATATTAGAGAAGTGGGATCTTGATTTTATCTATATGTAATGCAGCAATGAAAAGAACACCCATCCTGTGATGAGTTAGCAGATAGATAGAAAGATTGCCTATTCTTGATATAGATTACCTAATCAGAAACCAGGAAATCTCAGAAAATAGAGCTATGGCTAATGAAATTTATTTTTTAAAATCTGAATTTCATTAATAGTATCGAGTTAGAAATCATTTCTCGATTCTAATTATGAAAGAATACATTTTCATCATTGAAAGAAGCATTTTAGACAAAGTTAATTCTTCTGAATCTGAAACATTCATAAAAATTACTTTTGTGGTAAGCTTAGCACTACAGAAATGTGGAACCTTTAGGGAATGGAAATTTATGCCGACAATCAAATTCAGGCAATTTTTCACCAAGCTTTTGACATTGTAATCACAGATCTTTTGTCTTCACCTGGGATTTTTCCATTTACCTAATATTTCCCAATTGATCTTGCTTTAAATTGTTTGACATTAGTCATTTTTCGTGTAGAAATTGATATTAATGGAAGTAAATTTAAAGAGTTGGTTTAAAAGTCAACATAAATAAATACTATTAAGACATTTTTCAAAAGGGACAGTAAATAAATTTCATCCAATTTCTTGAAAGAAAACATCAGTGATTTGATAATGTCAACATTTCATGCAGAAAGAAAACTGCTACAGTTAGCTTTAGCATATTCTGTCATGAGAAATCTAGAACTGGACAAAAACCTGACACTTTTATGATTATAGATTGTCTTATCATAACTAGTCGTCTCATTAGTTTGAGAAGGATATGTATCAGACTGTTATATATTACTGAAAGAAAGCTCATAAAATTAAGTCCCATGAAGTTTAATCTTAAAAAAAACAAACGGAACATATTGCCCGTAATTGGCATAAAGTTGCAACAGTGTGGGGAGCTGAGTAGTAATAGCATCACTGTGTGTAAGTAAATAGAAGCACTATGTAATAGAGAATTTCAAGTTAGGAGACCTAGGTTTAAGTCCTAGCTTTATCGCCAAGTAACTATTTGGCCTTGAGAAATTGATTTCTAATCTGAGGTCTTGCTTAAGAATAGGATGCTAACTAGTCCAAGGGGTGGCAGGTAGCCTTCAATAGAAAAGACTGGAGACAAAAGATTCAGTCTTCTCTTAAACCCTGGCCTGTTTATCCCATACAGGTGTGTTATCTTTAATTCAGTCCCTGTGTATTTGTAATAATTACTTTCTACCATCTTTAACTAATGGTTTGCTTGATCATATGAACATGAATGATTGGTAATGATTATGTTTTTTTGAAGGTAGCATTTGAAGTTGAGTAACTTCAAGCTTAATTTCTACAACAGTATTGACCTATAGGAGACTTCTGTTTGCTGTGCAGTAGACTGGAGGCAAGAGATACAACATATAAGCCCTGATCAGGATATCCATTTCAGCTATTTATCTTTAGTCTCACCATATGTATATTTGCCTCCACCCATTGCTTATTGCCAAAGCCTAAATAAACCCCGTTTATCAGTTAGGTCCTGACAAGAAACAGCACACTCAAACTGGGTAGTTGAGAAGAATTTAATGAAAGAACTATTTAGAAAAGTGTGGGCAGGGTTAAGGGATGGTTCAGTACCCTGGGGCTAGGAAGCCTGGGGAACCATCCCATTCTTAGGCCTGAAGGAGCCAGATGATAGAGCCATTACCAAAAGTAACTCAGAGTGGGTAATTGTAGCTGCTTTTGCTGAAGGGACACAGCAATGTACAGAGATATGGCCAAGAAGGAGCCAGGGGAATACATATCCTTACCCCACTCTCCTCCCACCTTCTAATCTCTGGTGAGTACTTCCCACTGGCTGAACCAAAGGACAGGTCAGAGCACAAAGCAGCTTGTTGACACTGTCCAGTGGCAGAGAAGAAAATGGGGAAGGGTAGAAAGTAGATCTAGAGAGCAGGCAGAAGATAGCCAGCAAGCACTCACTGTATTTGGAATTTATAGTTTCTTACCCAGTGACTAGCCCTAGGAGGAAAAAAAGGGAAACAGAGTATTGGGCCCAACCCTCAGTCTTCGGGCCACCCTGCTAGGTTCCCTGGGTCTGGTATCAATCAGATGTCTTGTGAAATACCAGAACAACTTTCTACTTTGTTTCCCTCTCTTAACCTCACCCCAAATGGCTAACTTCAGAAGTAGGTGACTATGTAAAGTCACCCAAATTACAGGCAAATTATCATGTAGCACAATAGTTACTGTGCAGATCTTGATATATATATGTCCAGTTAATCTTTATTACAAGGGGTTTGATGACAATGCTAAGCTCTATTCGCCTGTGCCAAGTCTTTAGTGGTTTGTTGTCCATATTGCATTATCATTTTCTCACAACATTAAACATCTGAGAGCAGATTGCTTCTAGGGACTTTTTATCCCCTCCCCCAAAATGCTGGTTCGTGGAAGAAGGCATCCTGGAAAGAGAAGTGGCTTAAGAGTATATGGCTTTTTCTTCATACAATGAAATTTGAAACCCTGGTGAGTTTTTTGGAGTAGTTTCATCTTTGTATGTGCCAAAAAAAAAAAATTTCTCCTACTCCCTAAAGATGCTATAAAAGGAGTCATTGCTCATATTTGGTTGTCTTTGAGACAGTGGTCCACAGCTTTTTTTTGAAGAGCAGACACTTTTCATTTCCCAAAGCCTTGATTCTTGCGTCTAGAGACAGTGGAAGGATCAGATAAAGAGCGTTGTGATGGTCAAGTCCCTGGACCATCTTTCTTTTCTCTCACTGGTTGAACCTTCTCTTACCAGAAGGTGATTCTGGCCTCCAGATATTGTTCCCCTCCATTTGAATACTGGGATCTGCACTTTTAGATGTACCCAAATTTGTTGGGTACCATTTTTTAAAATCTTTTGACTTTCATAAACCATTCAGATAGAAATCTTGACATTTGGAACCACTTTGTCACCTATCTTTCTAGTCATACAATGATATAATCCAGGATTTATCCAGAAAATTCTTTCCTAGGGCTAAATGTGAGTTTTTGCCTTCTCCCCCTAGGGTAGAAGGGATTCTTGTGTTTTTCCCCAAGTGTCTTTTTGAAGCCTCTTACTGTTTCCTTTTAGTTGGTGATTGAACTCTATAGAACAACCCCTCCAGAGAGTTAGTCTTTTGCCAGGTGGTCCTTCTCCCCATACACATTCCCCAAAGTACTGAGCCTTCCTCAAGTCTCACCTAAAGTTCTAGGCTGATGGTATTAATGAAGTCTCTTTGTTATGGCACTTATTCTCTGAACCATGGGAGATTTCTCCTTCTCTGTCTCTGTTTTTTAAAGTCATATATAAAGGAGTGTTTTACCTGAGGGCCCACTTAAGCCTGTTTTTTAAACCTCAGATTGCAACCCATTAGTGGGTCATGATATCAATGTAGCAAGTTGCAGCTAGAATTTTTTTAAAAAAAATAGAAATTATCAGTGTGAAAAGGACAAATATTGTGTAACTCCACTTACATGAGATACCAAGAGTAGCCAAATTTATAGAGGCAAAGCAGAATGGTGGTTGCCAGGGGCCGAGCGAGAGGGGAACGGGGAGTTATTGTTTAATGGGTATGGAGTTTCAGTTTGGAAAGATAAAAAAATTCCGGAGATCAATTGTGTTGATAGTTGCACAACACTGTTAAGTGTACTTAATGCCACTGAACTCTACACTTGTAATGGGTTAAAATAGCAAATTTTATTTTATGTATATTTTACCACAATTTTTAAAATATCAGAGTGTGTCATATTTACAGTAACCCCTGCCCCGTTTAGTGTGTGTACTAGATTACGATAAAAGTCTATTTCTTATTTGGGGTTAGAGTTAAAACATTTACAAAATGGTGATTCTAAAAAGTTAAGACAGAGGCCGGCCCGTGGCCAAGTGATTAAGTTCATGCGTTCTGCTGCGGTGGCCCAGGGTTTTGCCAGTTCGGATCCTGGGCGTGGGCATGGCACCACTCATCAAGCCACGCTGAGGCAGCATCCCACGTGCCACAACTAGAAGGATCCACAACTAAAAATATGCAACTATGTACTGGGGGCTTTGGGGAGAAAAAGGAAAAATAAAATCTTTAAAATAATTAATTAATTAATTAAAAAGTTGAGAGAACTTGGTGCAGCAGGCGCACCGTCTTGCCAGTCTGTTCACCCGCACGGCACTCTCCCAGGGTGGACAAAGCAGCGTTGTTTACTAGGCAGGAGAGAGTTTAGGTGAACCAGTGCCGAGAGACAATGCCACCCTGAGGTGAGAGTCAGTGCGATATTGTGAAGTCCCTCTTGGGTGCTAAAGGTAATCACCAACAATTAACGTAAATTATGTAACCAGTATGGTGTATTCTGTTTGCCAGCCAGAAAAAGAGGGATGGGATTTTATTATGGAGTGCTAGACATTGTGCTAAGCAGATTGTTTGCAGTATCTCATTTAATACTCAAAAAATAGGTCCAATTACTATACTCATTTTACAGATGAGAAAACTAATATTTAGCCAGATGAAATAACCTGCCCACGATTGCAATATAAGTGAGAGCAGTGCAAGTGTTTTCTTCTGGTTCTCTCACCCTAGTCATCCTCTGCTTAATCTCTATGGTATGCTATACTATATTATAAAACTCTTATTACCACAGAAGAGTCCAGAGAAAAACTCAAGCCTTCATCAACAAGTCAGATCCTTGTTGAATACCTGCAGTGCTTTAGGAGTTCACCACAGAATGACATCCGGGGGTGAATCTTTAAGCATTATGCCTGGGTCCCTGTAAAGCCTATGGGTCAATCAAGATCTAGACTAACTAAAACACTCCTTGTTTTAAGAATTGATACCTCTCTGCAGTTGACTCAGGACATTTGATAAGTATGCTTTAGGTAAAATGAAAGTATGGATATGTAAAACTCCTGCCATACTTTCCACTTTTCAGGATATTTCCACTATTCTAAAAATTTGAATTTCTATTAGGAACTTATTGATATGTGACCTAACTACTGAATCTTGAGTTCTGTGTACTGCTATTTGACAGGTGTTGCTCCTAGGAGCCATTTTTACTTTCCTCTTTCTGCTTAATGCACATCTCATAAATTATGTTTTTCCTTTTGATATCTCAATCAAAGCAAACTCCATTGTACTTAAGTGAGGAAATTACACACATGCAGCTTCCATAAGTGTCCCTAGCAGAGTCATCACTCTCATATTTATGACTGTTTAGCTCTAATCCAATTAGATCTTTTTAATCCTTATGTAAAAGGTAAACATATGTATACTACTTTTGTAGTATCTAATGATGATCAAATTAAGTTAAGTATCAAAAAACTATAATTTGGGGGCCAGCCCGGTGGCATAGTGGTTAAGTTCATGTGCTCTGCTTAGGCAGCCAGGGTTCATAGGTTCAGATCCCAGGCACAGACCTAGCACTGCTCATCAAGCCATGCTGTGGCGGCATCCCACATAAATAGAGGAAGATTGGCACAGATGTTAGCTGAGTGACAATCTTCCTCAGGCAAAAATAGGAAGTTTGGCAACAGATATTAGCTCAGGGCTAAGCTTCCCGTAAAAAAAAATAATAAAAAATTTTTTAAACTCTGTAATTTTAGTGATTCAAAAGATAGTTTAAGGATAGTCAGATTATATATACCATGTTACTTTTGTATTTAAGGAATTTTTATTTTGATATAACTCCAGTTTTTATATAAAAGTCTAAATTTTTAAATATGGATTAACCTACTAACCATTGTAGTCAGGATTTCAAGATTGAAAGAGTATTGCTGACCACTTGAGTATGTTGGGAGTTACTATATATACCTAAAAATACTCTTTTTAACCTTTTATTTGTGCATTTAATTTAGGAAAAATGAAGAATTAATCTATTTGTTACAAATAAAGTTGGCAGCACAAACTCATGATGTTTTAGCAACCTTTTTTAATATGATATGGTATCTGCTACTCTCAAGAGAGAGAAAAATAAATTTTGGAAACTCTCAAGAGTGTCAAAAATCGTAGTTGGCAAGAAAAATGCTTCAGATAAATACCTCAAATTTTGTACTCGCTGTTTTAGAACTGATCTCATAGAACCCTTACCTGGCTTTTTAATAACATCTTGACTAACACTGTACCATATTTCTAACAACTTCTTAAAGTAGTATAAGAAAAAGAATTCATATGTGTAAAACACATGTGCAACTAATACATTTTGCTCTTTCTGAATAAATGCAAGCTTTAACTTTTACCTTGCCAATGAAATCTTTTATTTGTAACTCCACAGAAATTCCTAGAAAGCTATTTGGATTAGTATGTCCATTTATAGAAAGTTTTAAGACTATGCTTAGCTGCAGTTTTGCACATAGCGTTTAGTCAATAACATACTGCACCAGAGTTTGTGTTTTCTTTGTATGTGATGGAGATTTACTAACATTGCAGTAAATACTACCACAAAACTAAACTCTTTCAAGTTAAACACTCAGTAAACATGTTGGAATGCTCCTAGCTTTCATTTTCACCAGCCTTTTCACAACTTCTTTCTAAACTCAGCTGAAGATTCGCACTGTGAGAACCTCCCATGATTCACCCCACACCATTCTGAGTACCTCTTAATGTTTCCCCTCTGGCAGCCCTTCCAATTTTCCTATTCCTGCGTGGTTGTTCTGTTTTATAATGTTTCTAAATGTCTACATATTTTATATCACCAGTTAGACTGTGAGTTCTGTGAAAACCTAGGATTTATTTCTTTAGTTTTTCCTGTCATAGTTCTCCCTATGGTACTGTAAATTACAGTGTTTCTTCTCTAGGCTCCTCAAGGATTTGGGAGTCAGAGCAAATTTCAGATTTGGAAAGAAGAGGGTGAAGGATGCTGAGGGGAAATAGGGCAGCATTTGTTCAGTGATCTATAGTCACCAGGATATATACCTTGCCCCCTCCCAATCCCCAGCTCTCATGCTTCTACTAGCACTGAAGCAAGGAAACTAGGTAGCATGTTTCTCATGCACACCAGTAGCCACCAGGTACAAACTTCCCCCCTCCTGTGAATTCCTTCATTATTCCATTTAATCAGATATTGTATAAAATGGTGTTAAGAGGGTGGGCAAGTGAAAAGAGGACCTATGCAGTGTAATTGCCCATGGGACCTTGGTTCTTCTGGACATGGTCATAACTTTTATGGCACCTCGTACAGTATTCACTGGGCGTTCATAAAGAGTATTGACCAATTCATATGGAAATATGGATATGGACAATCTGGAGAAGTAAAACAAAAGTGAAACATTTACGGTGACGCTGAAAGTATTGAGTTTTTTGACCAGCAGAATCATGCTCTGAATTGTGTTGGTCTTAAACTGATATGAGAACAAGTTGTCTGTACGTGAGATGTGGGTGGAAGAAAATTGGGTTGGAGGTAGGTCAACATGGCTTGGGGTTTGAGGAATCTTTCAAAATTTTTCTGCTAATAACTTATAGAAAACAATCAACATGAACCTAATTTTTAAAAACAACTAGTTTATGTGAGTAAATATAGAAGATTTGATGATAACATATTGACTATAGGATTGTGGGTGCCAGCTTTAAAAACTCTTATAGAAAGAGATTTCACTTATATATTGGGAAATTCAGGTTATTGAACTTCTTTTATTATTTATTTCCCATAGTTCTGCAAGTGAATCTGGTTCTCAAAGCGCTTGTGACCAACTTGTAACTCCCACAGCCCTGGCTGCCTGTACCAGAGTCGACTCCTGTTTTACCCCATGGTTTGTCCCATCTCTTTGCATTTCCTTCCAGTTTGCTCACCTGGAGTTTCATCTTTGTCATCACCTTGACCAACTAGGCACAGGTACTCTTTATTTTAGTATCAAAATAACGTCCACTTAATACTTAGTGTTTTGTCTTGAGTGTTCTCAGACACAATTCATCAATTTTTACCCAGATAATTTAATTTCAGGAAGTAAAAAGGCTTGGAGGGGTTTCTATTCTGTGTTTTACAATATTAGTGATGTCTCAAAGTTCCATGGTTGCTAATCACTTTCCCCACCCAAAGCTCCTTCACTACTAATCACCACTCACACCCATATGGCCGTGGAAATTTTTAGAAGCAGCATTCATTTCCTGTAACAACGAGCACTGGCAAAGTTATTCACAAGTTGATTTCGTATAACAGATGCACCCCTTATTTTTGAACCATGCTGTGGACTTATTATATGGGTTACCAGTTGTATTGAACTGACATGATTCTACATGCTTCCCAATGAGAATTTTCAAGGAAGTTACAAAATTGCAGGTTTTACTGTTGTTCCAATTATGATCTTTTTGAAAGAAATGTGTCTGTTTTTGTTCTGTATTCTGAGCCATCACATTAATGGCAATAGATTCCAAAAGTAGTTGATATTACCTGATTTCAAAAGTACGACTACCTTCTACTAAAGATAGGCAAATTTGCCAATAATTTAAAGGACTAGCATTTTTACAAGTTTGTAAGGTAGAAGATTAAATTGTTCCACACACCAAGAGTAGCCTTTTATGAATTTACTAATGTTACATGAAAAATCATTCCTAAAAGTCTGTGCTGAGCCTTTTCTAGTTAATACGTTTTGATTCAGGTATTAGGTTTTCAACCTACACGTAATGGAAAAAGGGAAAAAAATCAGATTAAAACTAAACACAGCTGCTGTTAAGCATCTTGCCTTTTCAGCAAAAATGGAGTTTAACCTGCTTTTTTCTAACTCTATTTGAGTCATGTTTTTGTTTTTGTGATTTGGTTGGTAGATACAGAGCACTTCTATAAAACTCTCCTTAGATATTTACCTCCTCGTCATTTTATATGTTGTCTCCTGTGATCAAATTTTTGTCTGTGAAAGTGAATGTAACCTTTGGACAATATATGTTTAAGAGACCTGCTGACTGAACAAAACAGTTTTGTTTGCAAATGTAAAATGGTGATTCAGATATTGTAATATCTTAAAGAGAATGTTTGAATTTATTAAACAGCAAATATCAAATTCAGTAACCAAAAAGTTTAATGATTTAAATGTCATCTCTTTATTTCCATAAAGTATTGGCTCATCTCAATTGCTGTTTTCCTTTTGTTTTCTCAACAGCTCCACCGCAACACCTACAGCCATTTATTTCTGATAAAAATATGCCATCTGAACTGGAATACATGATTATTTCCTTCAGAGAACCACACATGTATCTTCGACAGTGGAATAATAGTTCTGTCTGTCAGGAGATCCGATTCTCAGCTCAAGCAGACTGTAAACTTCTGGAATGCAGAAATCTTACAATGCAAAGCATGGTGAAACCCTTCAGCATCTTTGGACAGATTGCGGTTTCCAGCGATGCAGTAGAAAAGCTGCTTGACTGCACCATCATGGTTGAGTCTGTATTTGTAAACTTTGGGCAACACGTAGTTCATTCTCTAAACACTGCAATACAAGCTTGGCAACAGGTATGAACATTCTAGAATGGTTTACAGTTTGTCTGCGTGTGATCTTTTACTAGGCACTCTATGTTATCACTTCTAGTAATAAGTTAAGCACAAACAAAAAGGTGAGGGAATGAAGAATTTGATGGGCACCATAATATTTGGGACCTTCTCTGTTTTGGCGAAGTGATGCATGTTATTTTTAAAAACTTTGGAGAATATGGGTTCTCTACACAGGCATTGGAGATCATGCCCACATTTTTGTGACTAATGTACCACATCTGTGTGGAAAGTAACATATTCCCAGAAATTTTTTCCAAGTATTATGGCTTTAGTTTGCCAAAGCTTGAACTTAGCTATGGATCGGATTGTCTAAGCATCCGCTGCAGAAACGAAGAACCTATGTGAGCCTTTCTGAAAATAAGCATTTCGTCTTTTCAAAGAGAAAAAGCAGTGAGAGGAAATATGTGAGCACATATCGTCTTAGTCTTTCCCCTTACTACCATTCTGCCATTGTGATTCACTAAAAAGCACTTGATAATGAATTTTTTTAATCAGTTAAAGACTCTTGATTAATAATTTTTTACTTTTATCTCTTGTCAGAAATTAACCATATCAAAAAAGAGATGAAATATAAGTCTATGCTGAACAGCATATTTAAAATGAGGAACCTGTCCATGTACACTGTCATGAAAATAATTTCACAGAATGTTTGGATAATAATATGCTCAGAGATTTAACAACAAATCACTTCTGCTTCCCTTAATGATTTTCAGTAGAATAGTGTATTTCCATAGTATTGTGTTGCTATTTAAGCCAAGACCTTTCCCCACATGTTGTGTGTGTTACATGCATTTGTGTGAAGCTGGCTGGCTCACCAAGAGAAATGGTCCTTCATCCCACACTGACCTCATGTGGGGACAGTGGCAGTGGAGTGGAGGAGGGGCTTGGATTCTCTAACTGAGGAATTTTTATGGGAATAAACTCTTTTCTTTATATGCGTGAAGACCTATACTAGACTAAGGAATTAATTACCTAACATGGCACTACAATAGCAAAGGGAAAAAAGATAACACATCTGTTTTATATTTTAAAATTCTTTTTTAAGGGCATTCCATGGTTTTCTTGTTGCAAAGGACATGCGTAGAATAAGAGCTAGTGTGATCTAAATCTTTGCAGCTGGTTTGAATAGCAATGTGAAAAAAACCTCCATGGCTCCAATTTCTGTTTTTTGTCATATTTTGGACAATGCATTTAATAAAAAACAAACCTAGAAAATATAAAAGAGTCATTGATAGAGCACTTAAGCCCAGGATATTTTTGTCCTGGTATCAGGGCCATTATAAGAGGACTCATGTGTAGCAACTACTGCAAAATGGCCTTCAGAAATACCAGTTTCCTCCCAGGGTAAAAGTATTCTCTTAGACACAGCTATACATATAAATAAAATACGGTGCATAAATATTTAAATGTTTTAACCACATCAGAGTGTGAATGACTGACTGGCTAACACAGTGCCTTGAAGGAATATTCTAAGTTTTTTTAAAAATGGAATTGTATATTTGATTAAGTAGAGCCATATGTCACGTAGCATATTGCTGACAGGTACATTCTATGAATAGTTGGTTCTGATTTATACAGGGATTTGGCAATGTTAACATGAGCCACAAGAGGATATACTTCTGTAATTGTTGCTGTAATTTTCTTGTTTCCTCCCATGTCAAGGGTACTTGCCACCAAGTTTTAATGTAGTAGGCATCTAACCCTATGTATTCTAAAGTAAATACAAAAATGCACTACTTTGAAATTAGAGGACATTTAACATTACAGTGGGCTTACAGAATGTTATTAAGTTCTTGTTTCTAAGATGTTCTGAATGTGGTTTATCCCCTTTAGAGGAGAAGCTTAGTTTTCCAAGCTTGGATTTTATTGTGTGTATAATGCTCATATACAGTAAAATTGTTCCCAATGAGAAATATGAATTTAATAAGCAGGATAAGTTATTTGAGTTCTCCACATACTTTTTATTGGGTTCACATCTGAGACAAGTCATTTGTATTCAGTGTGAATGGAGCAGACAGTTGAAGCATAAAACAGTTTGGCCTTTCACCTTTAGGTCACGAGTTCAAGATTGACAGAGCCTTCATCATTGTCTGATTTTTCTGGCTATAGACTTTTTTCTCTCTTTTGTAAATGATTAATGTTTTGTGAAACCAGATTAAGGACCCAAGATGGCTCTTACAGTTTGCTTTATATTTCTATGTCACATTCCCACATTTGGACAAAATAGCATTTAATGGAAATTTTTACTTAAAAATCAAGGTTATGCTCATGTGTTTTATCTTACACCAAAATGATATATATGTTTAATTGCAACACTCAGCATGAATCTTAAATTTAAATAAGCCGTCCTTTAATTACAAATCTGAGTGAGCTTTCTGAGGTTTAGCCTACATGATGTCATATAATATGTGTATGAATTTTTTTATAGTATAGCAACATTTAGACATTCCAAGAAATGCTTAAACTTACAACAGTTCTAATGAACTCCACAGATGAAGGAGCAGGAGGGAAACAGTTCCCTGAGGACTTTGAGTATTCTTCAGAAAAATGTAAACAACCCCCTTGTGTTCTTTCATTTACATTTTTTCCTAAAACCCTCATCATTTATTAAAGGTCAATTTTTAGAGTTGAAGAAAGTAATACGATTTTTTTTTCTACTCAAGCCCCATCTGGTAACTTAACCTCTGTGTTACCAGCAGATTGATCCCAATTCATTATGAAAACTGAATTTTAATCTCAGGATGTCTATCTAAGTGGGAGTTTGGAATCGTATCCCCTTCTTCACGTTTGTATTCTTGGACCTATAGGAGAGAAAAATGTTTATAAGAAGAGCAGTCTATGTTGATTATATAATACTAATGGAAAAATTTCATCAAAACTAATTATATGCTGTGACTCCAATTTGATTGAAGGTTTACAAACCTTTAAATATATAAGATATATAAGATAGAATTCAATAGGATAGACTACAATAAGAACAGGCAGGATACTCACAAGAGAAAAATTGTTGGAAGAAAATTCACCAAAATGTCTTAATAGCAGTTATCTCACAGTGTAAAATTAGAGACTTTTAAAAAATAAAGTCCATGCTTTCAGTACTTTCTAATTTTTCTACTGTGAACATATATTACAGTTATAATTTTAAAAATTAAATTTACTCATTTATTTATTTCCTAAGTGTTTATTGAGTAGTTACACATCAGGCATTATGCTGATTACTGGAGATTCAAGTTGTAAATAACACATACCTGGTTCCTGCCTTTATGCAGCACAGAGTCTAATGACGGAGACAATACTGAACCCATAATCATATAAATAATTACTTAGTCCCAGTAGGGATAGTGCTGTGAAGGTGAAATATAAAGTGTTATGTGAGCATAAAATAGGGGCACCTAACCTTGTCTGGGGAGGATCTCAGAAGGCTACTCTGAGGAAGTGAACTGAAAACAGAGTAGAAAGAAATTAGTCAGGCATGGATGAAAAGAGGTCCAATCAGAGGAAAGGCACTGAGGCAGGAAAGAGTTTGATGTATTGGATGAGTTGAAAGGGGCCAGTGTAGTATTGGAGGAGCTGAAAAAGGCTGGCAGAGCCGGAGTGTGGTGAGCAGGTGGAGAGTGGCTCAAGATGTGGCAGGGGCCAGATCAGGCAGAACTTCTAAAACCTGCCGGCAGTCAAGTTTTGAATTCAGCTCATGATTAAAAGCCACAACAGAGACGATTATGTTAGACAACAGGTAATTGTTGGCTATAATTGCTTTGGTCTCACTTGGCCAGAGACGCTTGTGATTAGCGTGCAAGGTTCCGCTCTGTGAGAATAGAGAGGTTTGACGAGAATAGATGGATGATAGAGAGAGGGTTTAGAAGTCCTCATGGGATGCTGGAAAAATGAAGTCTTTCAAGGTCTCTATCCCAACTTCAACCACGGAGCACTTCCCACCCACTTTGGAGGCCTTCTGATAAATTAGAAGCAAATTCTGCCTCCCGAGATAACTGTTCTAGATGAGGTTCTAAGTCTGGTGTTGGTCTAGGTATGTTCATCCATAGACTTCTTGGCTTCAGGCCTCATAATCACTTAAATTACCATGCTCATAAGTGATAGTTCCTTTTATTCTCCCTCCCCTCAGTAAAATGGCTAACAATGGAGTGAGGCATTGCATTATTTAGATCCACAGCCAAGTGGAAGCCAACTGGAGAAGCATCACTTGCATATTACCTCCCATTGTCTGCCAATTGATTGGCTAATTAAGATTTTTTTTCTTGCATTCTCAAGTTAATCGTTTATTTAGCTATTCATTTAGTTTACCACAAATATGTTTATCGATTTTTAAGTCATAACCTAACCAGAGTGATAAAAGAGTAAGCACAGAAATGCTCTGTCACTTGCCAGTGTTTTGATATAACAGCAGCCGATGGAGACACCATTAAGTAGAGAAGGAGATATCAACACAAGAATGTATTACTAATTTGTTGAGCTTTAGCAGATTAACGGAAGACATTAGCTGCTTGATGACTATTAGCTGAAATAGACACCAACAACCGTTTTTCAACTAACATTATTTCTCTTGAAAACTGCAACTTGGCTTACACTGACTCTGCAGTTGATCTGTTTTCTGTGTTCAGCTTCTTAACAATAGAGGGAAAGTTATGGTTTTATTTACATCTCTCCCTGAGCAGATTTACACACACACCCCCTCCCCCTTAAGGGATCTGGGGATGTATTACCTAAGTGATCCTTACTTTCTGTAGGGTACAAGCTGTGGCTTTGGTAATTGGTCCTGATTGTTGAGTTTAGAAGACCGGGAACATGGTAATTCTAGCCTCCAGTACTCTGCTCAAAAACATGCACTACCCAGTACAGCATTCTTTGTAGCATGTTAATTCATTTTAAAATGTTAAAAGTTTGAGGGATCTCATTGTTCTTTTACTCTTCCATGTGTGTGATTTATTTTGCAGGAGTATAAATCAAAACATATTCTTGAACATTTCAGATCTCTTTAAGGTATTTTCTGTGCTTATCCTGGAAGTATAGAATAGTTTGTATACCAGAGCTAATGACAACAGATCTTTTAGTGTGTTTCTCTGTTGTAACAATCGCCACTGGGCAGACAGCTGCCAAACATCTTGCAATTAATCTGATGCACATTGGCTTTCATATTCTTTTTCTTTCAGAACAAATGCCCTGAGGTAGAGGAGTTGGTCTTCAGCCATTTTGTGATCTGTAATGACACACAGGAGACACTGCGGTTTGGCCAGGTGGATACTGATGAAAATATTCTGCTGGCGAGTCTCCACGGTCACCAGTACAGCTGGCGCTCGCACAAATCCCCACAGGTATAAAAGAAACAGCCTTACAAACACAGCAATTGTTAAGATTGGGGATTCAGTTATTCTGCATTTGTGTGCCTGTGTCCAGTTATTTCTCTTTTTAAGTCTCCCAAGGAACCACACAGTGTAGCTACATCTGACAGAAACCCAGAAATGTTTAGAGATAGAAACACAGTGCACCCATGCCTTTCTTGAAAGGGAACATTCTCCTGTGTAGCTTGGGTGCTGTTGAGGCTACATGGTGTGCTGGTTATGAGGTTGGACTCTAAAGTCCAAGTACATAGGCTTGGATTCTGGCTCTGTGTAAGTTTGCTTTGCTTTCTGTGCTTCAGTTTCTCTTCAAAATGGGGATGATAATAGTACCTGTTTCTTAGGGTTGTGACAACTAAATGAGTTAATACATATAAGGCACTAGAATAGTGCTTGATGTACTGTAAGCATTATGTGTTGGGTATTATTCATTCGTTTTTTCAGATTTTTTCTGTGTACATACTCTGTGCCAGGCAGGTACTACTAGCTGCTGGAAATTCAAAGTCAGGGACAGCTCAAGATCTGTGATGATGTGATTACAATGACAAGATATGCCCAAAGGAGCACTGGGAAAAGATATACCAAAGGATGTGTGTTTTCCAAGTAATATAATTCCATTTTCCTGTCACTTTAGATGGGAATGATTAGAGGGATGTGCCCGGCAGGAATAATACGAATTAAATACAAAGTTGTGGTCTCAAATGAGTGAAAGAAATCCTAGGAAGTATTCTCAAGAATAATGTATTTCTAAAACTCTGGGTAATAAGGAAACTACTGTCTGCTTGTGATTATAAGAAAGTCATTAGATTAGAGAACAAGTTTTCCCATCCGCTCTATTGACCAGCTTCAGAATATGTTATACCCTCAGACTCCCTCTTGTCTTTCTTTTTTTTCCATAGCTAGATTCTGATTTTTTACTTGCTTTTTCCATCGTATTGCCACACGATTAGTAAAAAATTTGGAAAAGTAGATACAGTGCAATTCTTCTTATTTAGGTATATTTATTTAATTCTAGTTAATCTGACAGGACATTAAAACTACATAAATCCTTTTTTAATAAAAGTTCTTACAAAAATTTCTCTTTTATATAATATTGCAGTCATATTTCTGGAGTAAATGACTTGCCCTTATTTTCTAATTTTCCTCTTGAGAAATTTCCATGTTAGAGAGTTGTTAAGTCGTTTGGTTGTATGCCCCTTCTAACATAGTTAAAGGGCTGTTTGTTTGTTTCAAAATTAAGTTTTTCTTTGTTATTTTTTCTTTTTAATTGCAAAAGTGAGAACCTACAAATATACAGACCAAAAAAAAAAAAAAAAAAAGACCACCTATAATTCCAACCACCCAGAGACAACCTGTATTAATACTTGTATAGCCTTTCAGATCTTTGAAATGTGTCCATGGTAATTGCATTCCCAGCAATGAACTGTTAGTGACAGGAAAGAAACCTCTGAGAAGCTGCTCTAAGGTGTAATCATACACTGTGCCTGTAGCCACCTCACCCATTCACACATAAGACCTTAGCAAAAGAAAGCAAAGCTGAGGAAGCTTAACTCCCCTCACAGTCATTTTAAGATGCATAGACTACATGGCCCTCAGTGACCCTCAAGATTCCCTGGACACTGGAGCCAAGATGGGAAGAGTGATCATAAGCACAGCTGGCTTAGGGGTGTGGAGGAACAGTAGTCTTCATGTTGTAGACATACAGTTTCTGAGTGGGAAGGAGATCAACAGGAAAGAATGGACGAGCACTGCCACCACAACACCCTTCATATTTATACTCTTTTTCACTTTTTCAAGGTCTTTTTGTATTACTACTAGTTTTGTTTTCACAATATCCCTGTGTGATTTGTATTATTTGTTGTGCATATTTTATAGATAAGGAGACAAATAGAAATGTTAAGCTAAGATACTGGTAGAGTTGAGACTGAATTCTGTATCTTCTGATTCTCAATATAGTGTTATTTCCACAACATTGTCAAACTCTCCTAGGTTTTGGCAGCTTGATTTGTCTGTAAGAATAGCCAACCCATGAGGTTTTGAGAGAAGGGCTGAGAAATCACTAATATAATACTCCACATTTAAACCTAGACTGATATGAGATTCTGAGTCCAAGTATGAACCCTTGCAAAGCCTTAACTATATTACCAAAAACAATAAGAACATTTTAATGACAAACTAGAAACATAAGAAAGGTATCTGTTAAACTTTATTTTTTTCTTTTTAATCTGTAATTGCATCCTCTGGATATAAGTTTTAAGATGAACTGTAGTCATTATATTCTTTAGGCTAAAACTTAGGTCAAATTTGTAAAAAACAGTGTCTCTTTACTATAGCTACATATGCTGAAGGAAGTGTGTTTCAGAACCTTCTGAAGCCAGAGTCTTAATAGGCCCAGAGGGTCTTTGTGGAATTCCTTGTATCCACAATTGCAAATTCTGCTGTGTTCTAATGAGAGGTTACATCTAAGGATCAAAAAACTAGCCACTTAGCTTCAAACTGCACCTGGAGGTAGTCATAGACTCACAAGTGAGCAAACTGTTCTTTTTTCCAGACTCCAAGTCATATCCTGCACTGCCCAGCAGGCTGGGCTTTAGGAACATTTGTGTCTGCGTGTTTATGCTACCTTGGGTGTTAGTCAATTCATAGTCTCAGGGAGGATTTCTAAAGTTCATAGAACTTAACTCCACTAAACAATGTAGCTTATATTGCAGAGATCAAGAAAGTGGCAATGACACCTGGAAAGGTTTCAAAGAGGTCAACATATCTTAGAACCACACAGGAGGTTGCTAACAACAGTAAGTCCCAACAGGATGGGAAGAAACATGGACACAACCAATTCCAGAAATCCAAAGCTGAAAAATCTTTTAGAATTGAAAAGTTATAAACTCTCCTTATAGTTTCTAACACATGCTCTGAGGTAGAATCACTTCAAATGCTGGATATCCCACAACAGTTGCTTGCCTAAACAAACAAAGGGAGAACAAAACTATTTCCTAGGCAATAATTGAACATATTCAGCTACACAGTCATATATGCCACGACAAAGAGTTCTTAAATATTCCAATTCAGTAGACTTAAGATCAGGTTGGATGAGAACAATAACCAGCAAGGGACTGGTCTTCAAAGAAGTGCTTCACATTATCTGAAGTTGAATCTAAAGACTGGAAATTTGAGTTTATGGAATCTTTCCCCAGAATATGGGCAGTATGTGCAGCTCAGAGTCAGGGAAGTTTTATTTAATTTAGCCAAACCAAACATAGTGACACTTCCATCAACTAGTAGGATTTGTTTACAGGCTGTTCAAGTTAACTTTCTGGTTAATAGAGAGCACTGTTGGCTAATTAAACTGCTTGAAATAGGAATGCCTCTAACTTGTATGTAAGGAATTACATTTGCTTTTACCCTCAAAGCATGCACAATTCGTAGATTATGCATTTTTTTTAGAGTTGCAGAATTCTACCTACCAGTGACTTAATTTTTGTAATCAAATCATCAAGCAAGGTGAAAATGGGCTCTAGGCAGAGCCCATATAGAAAACAAGAAAATAGTTCTCCAAAATGGATATAATAGGAAGTTCCATAAGCTCGTGAAAAATGGCAGATATTTAAAAGTGCAAAATGTAACAGGGTAAGAATTAATTTTGTAGAGCAGCTGAGTATCTGGGAAATAGTCATTAAAGAAATCAGATTTAGTGAAGAAAAATATGTCATACATTCCTTTAACGCAGAGGTTGGCATCCTTTTTCTGTGTAGGGCCAGAGAGCAGATATTTGAGGCTTTTAGGGACTTACAGTCTCTCTCACAGCTGTTCCACTCTGCACACAAGCAGCCATCATGAATGAGTGCAACTGTGTCCCAGTAGAACTTCATAGACAGGGGCCGGCCCCGTGGCCGAGGGGGTAAGTTTGGACTCTGCATCGATGGCCCAGGGTTTCGCCAGTTCAGATCCTGGGTGCAGACATGGCTCTGCTCATCAGGCCGTGTTGAGACAGCATCCCACATAGCACAACCAGAAGGATCTACAGCTAGAATATACAACTATGTACTGGTGGGCTTTGGGAAGAAGGAAAAAAAAAGACAAGACTGGCAACAGATGTTAGCTCAGGTGCCAATCTTTAAAAAAAATTTTTTAAAAAAAGACTTCCCACTGTATTTTAAAAATAATAAAAATAAAATAACTTTATAGACAATGAAATTTGAATTTCAGTAATTTTCACATGTCATGAAATAGTAATCTTCTTTTGATTTCTTTTAGCCATTTAAGCATATAAAAGCCGTTCTTAGCTCACAGGCTATACAAAAATAAGCAGTGCACCAAATTTGGCCCACAAGCAATTGTTTGCTAACCCCTGCTTTAAGATCTCTCAATTAACAAAATTCAAGAGACTAAAGGTTTGATATTAAAATTTTTTCCCTCTGATCTAAGTGGTATTCCTATCACTTGAAACTTGGTAAAATGTTTCACAAGTTAAGAAATGACAGGTAATAGTTTAAACCTAACACTAATATAATCAACCCGTACTCACCACATAACAGTAAAATATTTTTTTTGTACTCGTTGTGGGCCTATGTAAACAGAAAGTTCTCCAGTTCTCTTTTTAATGTAAAAATGTTTTAAGTGAGATCTGATCATTTTTCCTCTTGTCTAAAGGGAAAGTAACGGGTTTTGAGTATCTACCTATCTTATGATAATTCCAGCCAGTTGTCAGTTCCGTTAACTAGACTGTAATTCTTACTCAGTTACCACTCTTTCCATATCCATTTAGATAATGCATGTGTGCACATGTCTCTGGAGAAACAGCACATTCCTTTTGCCACAGTCACAATTTTAAAAATTTAAAAGCAGACTTATGGAGGCAAGGAAATATTCTGTGTTGGCAAAACTGTTCAAACTGATAAATTTGTCAAGCATTTGCCTCTGCTGTTATATGGCACATGGCATACACGTTACAGTTTGTTTAGAAAGGGCAAGTGAAA